TTACTTTTTATAGAAATGGATAATAATCAAGAGTTTGAGGTAAAAGAAGTCTTAGACTTAAGTCAACATCAATTTAGGTTGGAGTATCTGGTTCACTGTTGTTGATATAATATTAATAAATGTAGATGGGAGCCAAGAAAGAATCTTGCAAATGCAACAAAGAAGGTTAAAGCTTTTCATCAATGATATCCATCAAAATTAAGATGAAAAGTCAAAAAAATCTAAGCTATAAAAGAAAAGATATTCAATGAAGATTGCATTGCATCTTTTATTCTTTATTGTGATTTTTTTGTATTAATGGTACTAATAGAATAGAAAATCAACAGCCTACAAATTCAACTAAAAAACTATTATTTGCTGACTTATTAAAAAAAACTTTGCAATTGTCACAACCTTCAAGATGATGTAATAGAAATGAAGACCTTCAATAATAACATATTTTTCTTTAAATAGATGGAAAATATAATATATTTGATATCACAATCCTATAAGAGACTCTCAATGTTTGGTGATTTTATTAGAGGTAAGAATAATTCTTGATAGTATTATAAATATTTTGTTTGAAAGAAGTTACAAAGGTCTTAATAATGATCAAATATTTGGATTGTCTTTCTATCATAGAAGAAGATATTATCACTGGTTAAGAGGTCCTTTCAATTATCTTTGAAAGAAACAAAGTTCAAAAGATGTGGCAAATATGATTTGTTGCATCTTTGGCTTTTTCAATATGTAATTACTACTTTTTATTGAAGTCTCTAGAAGAAAGAATATTATTACAAACATATACATTTGGTTTAATAATTATATAATATGAATAGATAGAAGTAAATAAAAATAGATTAAAATAGATTAATTTGATAATATCTTATAGAAAAGCTTTCTTAAAGCTTTATAGATGTGATTTCATTTTTTTATGTATCTACAAGTGATTGATAGGTTGAACACTTGGCCAATAAGTTAACCATGTATCATATGTATTAGTAGCTTGTGGTACAAGTTAACTAAGTAGCACATATATACAAAACTTGCCTTGTAAATTAAGACAAGTGTCTTATAAATTAGACATGTGTTGGAAGTCCTATTGAATGTTGTCACATAGCTTCTAGTTAGACAGTATATATAGAGACAAGAGTGAAGCCTTCTTCACTCTTATCAATGTTTTTTTTTTTTTTTTATTATTCTTAGTCTTATTTCAAGAAACTTTAGTTTTCTTGTCTTATCTAATTCAATATTATATCATCTTTGAATAATTATCTATTGTTTTAAAGTGATACAAGATTGTATTTGATCATTTGGTTCTTTAAGATTCATCTTTTTGATAGCTTAGGACATCTCAAGCTATTTAAATTGCTTATAAGGGCAAATTCATATGAGGAATTGACAATAAATGATTATAAGGACCAAATTGGTATTTTCTTTTATCTTAAAGACTTACTTACTTTTGTTAATTCAATTAGTATTAATAGTCTAATATAGCTTTGACTTTTTAAAAATGGTCTTTTATTATATAATTCTATTTTATAAGACATTAGGATATATAAGAATATTTAAAAATTGAAATAATTTGAATTAAATATAAAGATCATGTAATTAATATAAAAACATTTGATTTTGAAATTTATTCATAATAAAATTTCATTTGAGTTAATATTGACTTCTCTACTAATTGAAGAGCTAGATTTCATAAATTCCAAGGCTTATATCATCTTTAACTTGTAATTCAAACCTAACCTAAGAGCTTATCTCTATATAGCCTTTCTTCCTTTTATTTTAGAAGAAGACAATCACTTGCACATATGAGGTTGTCTATCTAATCTATTATAAAGATGAGGGGACTTATTGAAAATAAAACCAAACTTAAGTTTTGTATAGTCTAATTTTTCTTTAAAAATTATTTTTATTTAATAATTAATATAAAGAAATTTATACAATATTTTGGATTACCTTTTCTAATAAGAAATAAAACGATATTTATTAGATAATACTACAAATTAAAATTTTATTTTTAAAATACTTAAGAAGCAATAAAATTTTATTTTTTGATAACAAAAAATCAATTAATATTAAATTTTAATATTAAATATGTATTAATTATATCTCTTATATCTACTGTTTGTATTAATTTTTTTCATTAATTGGTTTTAAAAGTAACTATAAAGTATCTTGTAATAGAAAAAGAAATTAAAATTGTTGGTTTCTTTTTTGTATTTATTTGCATGTAATACCATTTTAAAAAAATATAATTTTAATATTTTCATATTACATTTAAGTTTTTTTTTATATATTAGGAATTAAATTATCTTTTAACAAGTCCTTTTTTTAACTTTTAAAATTATTATAAAAAGAAATAGAAAGTTTTATTTGATGGATCAGTCTTTGTGCTAACATAGAGAATATTACAATCGCAATTGAATTTTATTTTATTTTTTATTTTTTATTTATCAAAATCAATTTACTTTCAATTGTATTTCAGTTTTGATTTTGACTTTGATTTTTTTTTTTTTTTTTTTTTTTTTTTTTTTTGCTACAATAAATCTACAATTGTGACATGCAAAAATCATCTACACATAAGTTACAATGTTTATATTTCTAAAAATTAATAGATTTATGGTAATTTTATTTAGACTTCAGAATAAATATATGAAAATATTAGTTGCAAATATTATAAATGATAAGATCTTATATGAAAGAAGCAAAAAAAATATTTTGCAACTTTGGCATTTTTTTTGGAATTGCCTATGATAGATTTTCATAATACTTGTATTCAAAAAAAACTTTCTATCAAAATTAAAACACCACCTCTTGTAAAAACTGGAGAACAAATCAAAGTATTAATTTAAAAAATAAAATTTAGAAAATAATATGCAATAGGTTATTAAGAATGTTTTATTGAAAAAATATTTTTAAATCATATGATAGTCAATTTGTTCATAGCAAGAATATATTGGAAGAAAACCTATCTAAGAACCTAAAGAATCTCTTGTGAATGAATATATTATTAGATATATTGAGGATATTAACAAAAATAGTCTAAAACATACAAGAGATTAAATAAATTAAAAGTAACATATATGTTGCTTCTTCATTTTACATTATTACTAATTTTACGTTTTTTTTTTTAATTGGTTTTTCTTTCTTAAATTATTTTGTATTGTAGTAAAATATTATCATAAAATTGTATATTTGTTCCTATAATAATTCACTTATTCAATATGCAAGCGTTGTTTTCTGGAATATTTTACAGACATCATAAGAACTTGCAGTATTCCATTTAATTTTTTTTTTAAGAGCACGTTTGAATCTGAACAATCTTATCTAAATTTTCTATGATAAAAAAACTCAAAACTATAAACCACTCCATCCTGACACAAAATTTTACCGTAAAATATTTCAAAACAACCATTCCATGAAATAAACTATTATGTGGTTTTTATTTCATTTGTAAGTAAGAAGTCAAAACAATTCTTGAAAACCACGTCACTGTCGGTTCATTGTCTTTTCTTGCTATAAGACTTATTAATAATACTAATAATATAAATGAGCAAATTATTAATAATCCAAACGGAACAGCTCCAAGCAGTGTCTATTACAGCACTACCCAGAGGCTGATGGGCATCCAGCCGCAGGAAAAAATGCACTAAGAACTAAGAAAGCGGAAGGGAGCAAGAGAAGCCTCAAAAAAGGATACAAGGAATTACAAGACTTCAGAAACGCATGGAAGCCGCAGTAACGTCCTCTCAGCAATGTTTCACCACTCACATCACCACCGCAAGTCAAGCACTACTACACAGATTGAAGGATATTCATACCCACCCCCGGAAACACAATGAGACGATATTTGTGTTGTGCACCTGTGAAATACTTCGGGATCCATGAATTAGATGGAAGTGTATGTATCTGCCGCGCCAGCTGTACTACACCATGGGCACTATGAAAACATTTGCACCCATGAGCTGGAAATTGGCCCACGCACAACAATCGACCCAGGGCGTGCTACTGAGACCTGGACGTTGGTTTCATGGATTCCCACAAAGTGGGTTACAGCGCGTCATGGATAAACAGCACGACGACGTATAATGCAAGGGCCCACGCCGTCAGCAAGTTCTCCAGATCACAGTCGAAAAAAAACAATGCTGATGGAAAAAGACAAGCACACGCACACGCACGGCCAAGCGAAACAAGAGCATGACTTACCTCCTCCGAGATGGTGGTTCATCCGTCAGAATGAACCCCGGACGCTGACGTCAGGTCTGGGCTGGTCTCCTCCAGGCTTGTTGGAATAAACCTGCCTCCGATGACAAGATGAAATCTGACTTGGGCTGACATGCAATTAGGTTAAACTAAAGATAGCACAACGATTAGTATAACGAGAGACTCTCCAAAGAGTCCATCATCCGTGTAAGTGATACTACACAGTATCACCGAGAGTTTCCGGTGCTACTTAATAATATAATACTATTTCTTCATGGTATCAGAGCTACCTCCTCCGAACCTCCACCACTCTGTGCATTTCGTTGCATGAACTCAGATTTAGAAATCTCAGAGCAAGCTTTGCCCACTACTGCTAGGACTCTCTCGCGACCTGAGTCGACATCAGGAGATCCACCTCAGGTAACTACCTCCTCTCACTCATCATTTTATTGCACCATGGCTAGCGATGCTAACTTCATCCACGTTGAGTGCAGGCTTATAGGAGAAGAAAACTACAGTATATGGAGTTTTATAATAGAATAGGTCCTAAGGAGGAAGAACTTATGGCGCTATGTTGAAGAAGAGCCCTCTCTCCGTCAAAAGGCAATTATTGGATGAACGGAACAATCAACAGCGCACATTGGTGATTCTTACTCTCTTTGTACATCTCAGGTTGTTCACCAAAATCAAGACGAAACGAGATTTCCACTCCTTGTCAAAAGTGCTCAAAACCATGATGGTTTCCACCAACCAGCCCCGCAAGAACGACCTTCTAAATTAACTATTAAACACACAATTGTCTCCAGATGGCAGCATGAAAGAATTCCTACGGATCATTAAAGAACTTGTTGACAAACTTACACAAGCCGAGGTTGTCTGCACAGATTGTATAGCCACTCTAGTACTCAACGCCCAGCCACATTAATATGTTGGATATGTGCAGTCACTCATGACTTAACAGAAACCTTTCACTCTCCGAGAACTAGAACCCTTTTTGTAAGAAGAATCTTGACCCCGCATCAAGGACACAAACAGACACTCCAAGATCGCCCTCACAGTTTGCAGCAACTCCTCACATAGATCCCATTGACGACCGTTGCCTCTCCATCGCCCGCCTCCTACTCAATTATCGTCCTTATTAACGCAGTGGTGGATGGATCAAGAGCCAAACCAACCCTGGCAATCTAACCAACGTAAGCCACACCCCGTCGAGTTCAACCGTCACGAATCGGGGAACATTTGCCGCCATTGTGGTGCCCTAAATCACTGGACGCGGGAATGCCCGATCTACAAAATAGAGGAACAACTCAAGCGCCTCACCGTCCGCCTCCAGGATCTGCGCTCATGTGCCTCCTTTGATCAGGCACAGTCTTTGTGCGGACTCCAAAACTGATGACTCAGAGTCGACCCCTCGATCTCCTCGAAATCCTCAAATGCCCTCGGTCAGGCCCTCTCAGTTCAAACTGCAGCCCACATACAAACTTGGTGTCTCGATTCCGGCGCAACTTCCTGTGTCACCGGCTCCGCACAACTCCCAGAAACCTTAGAACCAAAACCTCTCACTAGGACAGTTCGTTCCGCAGGAGGGCAACACCACCATATACATGGCATGGGTCGTGCCTCAATTTCCACTCACGGTCCAAATAAATATATCGATAACGTTTGGAATGTGCCCTCTGTTGTCGATAGTCTACTCTCAGTCGGGAGAATTTGTGACTCTAGCTTTATCCATGTCTTTGCATAAGAATGTTGTCAGATCATTAATCGTGAAAAATGCAAGATATTTGCCCAAGCTGAACGTCCTCATGCTTCTGATCTCTATCGCCTTACGCCAGCTACAACCAAGCTTATCAATTCAGTTTCTACAAACCCCTCTTGCTGGTCTGCAAAATCTACTCAACATATCAAGAACTCAGTAGACAAGCTAAAATTATGGCACTTACGTCTTGGTCATATTAATCATAACAGATTCTCTTCTTTATCCGCCTCATAAATCGTAACAAATCTTCCCTGTCTTCCGAAAGTGACGCTCACATGCGAAGGATGCCTCCTCCGTAAGCAGCAAAGACTTAAATTCCCAAAAATCAGCTACACAAGAGCCTCATGACCTCTTCAACTCATTTATACAGATTTGAGCTGTCCTTTCCACGTATCCACTCCTGCATGTGCTAAGTATTTTGCTCTATGTGTATGACTACACACGCTACATGTGGGTCTACTTGCTTCAAACAAATCCAATACTTTTTATATTTTCTCTATTTTTAAAAGCAACCGTTGAAAAACAGGCTGGCCTTCCTATCTTCGCTCCGACCAGGGCGGCGAGTTCACCTATGCCCAGTTTGACTCCTTATGTCCGCAACAAGAAATCACCATGCAGCTCACCCAAGGCGGCGCCCCTCAGCACAATGGAGGGGGAGAACGGCACAATAGGTCCCTCCTTGAGATAAGTCCATCATCACTCGACTCTCTACGGGGCAAATTACTCCACACCGCATGCCACATCCAGAACCGCATTCCGGGTAAGTCAACTCCCCTCTCCTCTCCTCATGAACTGTTTTCAGGGAAGAAGCCGAATCTTGCCCATTTGCGCACTATTGGCTACACCATCCATGTCCACGTTCCCGCAACCAAACGCATGAAGCTCTCAACCCATGCGCACAAATGCGCCCTCATCGACTATGACACCAAAACAAAGGCTTACCGCTGCTACGACCCACTGATTAGGAAAATCCGCATCATAATCATGCAAGATCTTATTGCATGAGCGTTGAAGATAAGAGTTGGAGTAATTTAAACTTGGGTGTTTGTTGAGCCTGAAGAGATTGATCAGATGGATACAACTCTTTTTTCTACTCTACCATCCATCCCCCCTCATCCGTTGCCCAACCGTCCTTTTGATCTCCATAGTTTTGGCCCAATCTTCAAAATCCAGGCGTTGTTGTGACTCCTGAATCAGTAGTGGGCTAGAAACTTGCAATACCTGTGCTAACTATGATGTCAAAAAGGATTTATGAATTAAGAGAAGTACGTTGCCACCAGTGAGGCACCTCAGATGTGTTTTCTCATTTGCACAGTGCAAACAGAGCAAGACCAATCTTAAGAGGGGATTTGAAGTGCAGAAATTACAAGTGTTTAAGCTGAGAAGATTAGGAGCAGGTAGAGAAAGTAGAACTGATTACAACATGATACAGCTAGCACACACCGTCACCACTATTTCCAAAATGGGGCAAATGATAGAGCCACTGTTGATGGTCCACTATGACCTGCCATTCCAGTGTCACAAAGCGGACTTTACAGTGAACAGATTATTGTAATGCGGGCAGCCAATCTGGTTCGTTGGCGTTGGAATATGAGTTGGAAATGCCATTCCTTTTCATTTTTATTCTCACTCCAAGCTGGGGTGCCGATAATATCGTCCTCAGAGGAAATTGGGTGTTCCTCGATTATCCAGATATCGTTTTGAACTACTTAAAAGGCATAAATATGGTGCGCCACGAGAAATTAAGGCCAACATGGAATGGAGGATCTTCTGAACAAACAAATTCACTGAACCAACCTGTCCTATGCATCCCAAGCTGGCCTTCCACGTTAGTTGTAAGATGTGACATAGTCCTTGCATAGAGCTTCTCCACATGAATTTGCCAGAAACCTAACTGATGACCTAGTGCATCAAGAAAATAAAAGAATAACTCATAGCTATATCTTCTAATATTTCTACATTCAGGAGCTTGTCCTGAAATAAGATGGTCAAAGATCACCAGCCTCTATTCTATCTATGATATCAACCCTAGTTTTCCTCTTCCAATTATTTGCAGTGGCAACAAGGTTGATAAGACTTATAGCTTGTGACTTCGTATACTCCTGCATTACATTTCAATAATGTTGTACTTAAACAATGACCCCTCCTCCATAATAAGACATACATCTTCTTACCGATTAAGAAGGAAAAAGACTAAAGCAAAAACAAGGAAGAGAGAATAACATGCAGCAATTCGACAAGTCAAGGCGCAAAAGTAGTGTTAATCAAAGATAAGAACACCAGCACTTACAGGATGTGTTCTGACCCAGTGCAAGTACTCAGTCTCAGGCAAATAGAATGCCTGTACAGAAAAAAGCACATTAACTTGTCAAAAACGATCCACCTCTGAAAAAGAATGTAAATATAAGCAAATACTAATGGAACATACTCTACCTTTATGTAGGTTTCCACAACTTGCAAGTTGGACTTCAGTCTCTGAGGCGCTAAATGCTGCAAGCCATTTATAAGCACCTGCAATTGACAAAATGTCATCAAAAAGGATTCCTAAAATTCTGATAAATGAAACGGAAACAGAATTAGGCGCACAAAACAATTAAATCAGACATCTTCAACACACCTGGAGATCAAGGGACATCAAAGCACGGCCTTCATTATTGCATCTCCTTACGCGTGAGAAGCCTTCAACAATAGTTTCAGCAAGTGTATCCACTCCATATTCTAACAAAAGCTCGTGCATCTACGATTCCACATTAAGGGATCATCATTATACCCAGGTTACTAATATCTCACAAAGGTGAAACTAAAAGCAGTTAAAAGTTCTCACAACCGTGTTTCAGAAAATTACTTTGCATGGAGAAGGAGAGGCAGTGAGCCTGGACAAAGGCATCCTAACATTAATATAATATTTAGAGCGTAGAAAGTTGACATTAATGGCATCATTGAAAAATCAAACATGAAGTATCTTCAAATGGCCAACCTCCTTGTCAAGTCCCCCATAACCCAATCTCGTTGAGAACTGCTTGTATGCACCCAGTAGGGAATCCACATATCTGTTAAGAGAGATCCAGATTCTTGATTAAGATCATGCATAACAACACAATGGTTTTTACAGCTCTATTCAGCGCTCACCTGCAGTCGATGACGACTCCATCCAACATTACAATGAAACAAATTAGTGCATTGAGACCAGTTACACAAGTTTTGGCAACAACGTTAGTATGCTGGAATAAAGTTAAAAAATAAGGGGTGTGTTCAACGTACCCATTGTGTTCCATTCCCAAGTCTTTAAGCTCCCATCTCACACTAGCTATGCGTTCAACGTAACTGCAATAAACATACAAAATAAGCCTCTTCTTTTCCGACGATAAACATTGAATGGATAATCAACCCTTAACGAAACCCACTAAACCAAACTGGATGTTTTATACCATTGTCTATGGTGCCTACAGAGTGGTACAGAAAACCAGATTAGACTGCCACATCACACATAGAGTTTAACCAGAATACGTTTACCAGGAAAAGTGAAAGAAAAAAAATTCAAAAATAACAACTCAGCTCACTACTTTCCAATGCCAAAGCAATTTCAGGGACGTATTTTACCCATCAACCATGGTTGGCATGATCATACTACAGGGATAAGTGAGAATTAAGCAACCTACCCTCCCACATTGAGGAGCATCCGTGCCACGGCCTTGTACACATGATCTCTCAAATCTGGCACTGCATCTATCTGAATGTCAACCAGGACAAGGACATTAGACTCAACCCCGAGTAGATTTGGTAAATTCAGAGCCTCTAGATGCTTATTACTACAATAATACTGCCCTACGAAACAGTGCCTGAGCACCAGCCACAGATACTGAACAATGTAATTGGACATGTTTTCCATTGATGAGGCTTCTAACCAGAAAAAAAAAAAAAAAAAAAAAAAAAAAAAAAAAAAAAAAAAAAAACACACAAAGGATTATTCGCATACCGTGCGAGCATAAAAGAATTCAACAGACGCCAATGAATCTTGGTCCAGCATAGCTTGCAACAATGGCCTTGATCTTTTCAACATTTGTGAAAGACAAGCCAGTGACTCCGTTGCCACTGTGCGCTCCTGCACAATATGAAAACCAATAGAACCTACTTTTCACAAAAATATAAACTAATATAGTTGGCAATCAGGTCAAGAAACAGGTGTATGAAGGTACATGTGCGTAAATAATATTAATAATTGAAAGTATCATTAGAATTTTGCACGAGTCTAAAATTTTGCACAATGGAATGAGGTTAATAGTATTAAAATTAAAAATCTAGCAGTCCAGATCAGATAATAAGACCTGGACTTACATAGACATCGTTTGCAACTTGAGTTTACCTTAACAGCATACAAGTTAGTCGGGGCCATCACTATCTCACCACCTCCAGATACATCGCTCAGTGGCGTATCTGATTGGGTGCCAGGTGAATTGATAACTCCAACTGAGGCACCCATAATAGGTATTGAAGGCTGAGCACCCATGCTTGCGGACTGTTTCAACCTTTGCGCCTCTAGTCCTTGCGAAATCCTTAACAGAGTCGCCCGCAGTTGAGGGGTAAGCACTGAGATATTCACCAAAACCATGGATCAGGTTATATGTCGACGAAGTAGTTATCCAACTTTTCACTGTCTTATTTGCAAACTTGAGACATCAAGAGAAGATGAGGCTGAAGAATCAATAGAAGTATTTCACAAGCAGACCGACGTACAACTGTTGTACACTTACGGAAAGATTCTTGACCCCGACTACCTCCAAACGCCTCTCGCTGTCCAAAAGTCTTAAAAATGGAGAAAAAGTATAATTCAAAGAGTTGTCCCAAACCCTGCGTCAAACAACAATGCTGTCAAACAGGCGAGCATATGGTGAACAACCACATTAAGTTTGTGATCACAAGCCATCTTTCAAAGAAGTTGACAAATTTGACTCAAAAGTAAAAAATTGCCAACACAGAGAGAGAGAGAGAGAGAGAGAGAGAGAGGAAAAAAGGAATCAAGAAATAAGCATTTATTTATTTATTTATTTATTTTGAAAATTGTGACCAACTAGTTTCAAGGAATTACACGGCATACCTTAAACACATCCGCAGCAATTGGCTGCAAAATCTGCATCAATCGTGCATACTTGTCCATATATCTGCCAATGGGAACACCAAAACCTCAGATCGCTCAGTCCTGGTTGAGTACACAGAAAATATAGGCTTTGATAAACCAGCTGTAGCACTTAGTACACATGAAGGCGTACAATCTTTACTGGTTTCCACATTTTTCAGGGTTGAAGAACATAATAGTTCACTGTAAAGATATAAGATCTATGTGAAGAATTAGAATCTCACCTAAGGATATTCACCGAAGAATTTGTAAGTACCAATTGTTTGTCTTCATTAGAACCTTGTATATTTTTTGCCTCCATAGGATTAGAGCTTTTCCGAAAATCATGGTACAATCGACCTGGCAACTGGCTATCCTCGTCTATAAAGTCAGCCAGTAGATCGTCATTTTCATCATCTTCCTCCTCTTCAACTTTCACACCGCCATTCGCCATAACCTCTCCATTGTCAACACCATTTACCTTCACAGCCTCTCCATCCACAACTCTTGTGGTGACAGGGCTATGCAGTGCTTTTTCGGTGAAGGGATTTCCCAAACGTAACCAATCTGCGAAACTCGTCTTTTGAGCACCAGCACGAAGACTGCTAGGTCCTTGAGAAGATACAGGATTCTCACCCAAAACAGAGGGTCGGACTAATGATGCACCATGACCAGTTAGACCAGCTAAATTCACCGACTTAAGCGCCAACGATGACAGCGGTTGCCACAGCTCCTTTTCGACATGCATCCGCAGAATCTGAAAGAGATCAAAAAGTTAAATTCCAGAGAGGCTACGGACAAATACAACGAACTCAGCTTACACAAAACCCTATTGTACTTACTTCGAGATTTTGGCAGTGATAAGCTCCAAAGTACTGTTCGCTCTGCTTCGTAAGCTTGGTTCGTAACGATGCAGCTTCAGCACCACAAAATGCCTCTCCTGCAAGTATGAACTTGTTCACCCAGTCCAAGCTTTGTAAAAACTGGTGCGGGGTTGATAGACACACTGCATCGTTTGAAAGTAACGCTGCCACCCGACGTGCCGCTAATTCCCAGACTGTCTTCCTCCCACGTTCCAACGCACGTGCAACAGTCGCTGTCACTACTTCCTCTCGCCTCACAAGATCATTATTATCTCCGTCGTCCTCTAAAAATCTGACATCTAGTTCCCCACTTGAGGTTGTGCCATTTTCAAATGTTTCTGAAATATCAGCACCAGGTCTTCTTCTCGACGCACTCCGACCCAACAGCCTGCTTGCATTTATGGAAGTTGGGGACATAGGTGTAGCAAAAAGTTCTGATCCTGTTCTCATACCGGAGAGTGATCCAGTACGAACATGCCTCCTTTCTTTGGCGATTTGGTTCAAATCCCCGTGACTACCTGAGCGACGGTGCTGGAGCTTTCGGTTTAGAAGGACCGCTTGTTGGGGATCCTCAGGAGGTTTAATCTCAGCAGACTGAATACACGAAATGATTCATACCTTAAGTCCTTCTATATGCAAATGACATCACCTACTACCCAGATCCAAATCCAAGCACCCTAAGCGACAACACATTCCATGGTCCCTGTTGTACAAGAATTGTAATGGATATATTATTATCAAGTACCTCTGGTTTTTGGTGCCATGTCATCATGGTGTGGTATGAACACATTAGGTCGAAAAGCACCTCCAGGATTTTGCACAAAACTTGCTTAAACTTTTCCTCAGGAAGAAGCATGCACAAGTCTCTATATGGGAGTCTGAAAAAAAAAAAAAAAAAAAAAAAAAAAAAACATTTAGCTCACGAACAACCCAGACAATGGCACATAATTCAGCTCCCAGAAACTAATAAATCCATAGCGCGTAAACACATACCAAGACCGCACAAAAACTATAAAAGTGATTGAGGAGTTCTGAAGATGAGGGACTTCATCTGCGAATAGCATAACCTCATTACTAGAATAGATATTCCATTTTAGAATAGAGGAGTTTAATTCCAAGCCTTCAAAAAAGACTTGAAATTAAGAGAAATTCTTGGAGCTCAAGAAACTTATACCTGCTCTTTTTCAGTGCAATTTGTGCGTCCTCTCCCTGCATACACCAAGCAGACATCAGTGACTTCCTATTAGAGACCAAGATTTGTAGTAAATCAACTTGGACAACTTTGAAATCATGTTGCAATTTCATGTTTGTCACTGTGTTATATTACGACAACAATGATGTTAAATCATATAATAAGGCAACTAGTAATTGCAATCTCATTCAATCTGCCTCCAAAACGGGACCGCAAAAGAGAAAGCTTACCTCAAACAATAGGTTCTTAAGCACATCGTGCGTTTCTGTAACAACATTCTGTGCAAAGAAGCTCTGCACCTTGTCAGCAAGACTGGTGACATCGTCCAGCAAAGTATAAGCATTAACAACCTGCAAAGATCCAAGAGAAGGCCGGTCCGCTTACTGAATCGTAACTTAAAGAACCAAACAAGACAATCCAGCTCCTCCTGCTGAGGTTGCCAAATTGTGCATGAACACATAACCATCATTCCGTAATTCTCAGATTAATTGACTTCAACATTAGTAAACTAATTTTCCTCAAAAATAATATAGAGTCCAAGTAGCTTACAATACATTAAATGCATAAAGCTTTCACCGGTTATCCTCGGCGCATTCAAGCTAACACACAGTTAGAATACGCCGGGCAGGTACCAGATAACTACTTACAGTTTTGTATTTCTCTGCCTCAAACTTTCGACATACGTCCATAAGCAAAGCGTCTACTTTGGCAATGGTTCTCTGCAGCCATTCCTGTACATGTTCCGCCATATCAGCGTTAATCTCCTTCACCGTAGATATGGTGCTTCATTTCCGAAATTTTCTATGAAAATATGCAAAAAAATGAAAATCGTGCGAGCATCAACAGTCAGTCCTACCTCGATGCTCTGATTCATTTCTTGAACAGCTACTAAGTCTGGGCATTCCTCCAAAAGCAGCAAACATTCTGAACACATGTGCAGAGCCTGTACATTCAATGTCAATACGGAATCGTAAATGCTTTAAGTGGTTATGAGAATGTCCTAGCAACGTAACATGTAGTATGATATTTCCGTTTCTGAAGCTACAAAAAAATTACTACGAGTGTTAACCACATAGCCAATGACAACCGTGATTTATTTGAACCAATCCAGAATCTAATTAAAAAATTAAGAATAAAAACGGTTCAAAATCACTCACGAGTACATTTGAGACTCTGTCCCGAAACTTACTTTAGAAAAGTCTCCTTCATCCACTACACTGTCAAGGCGTGATTTAATATCCAAAGCTTGGTGTAAGCGTTCCAAAACTGGAACTATATCCTGCATGCCAAAGGTCCACATATTTCAAGGTTTCATAACTTACAAAGAGAAAGGAAGGAATTACCAGAAAGAATAAGTTTAGGAACAACCAAGTATTACTATACATAATTAGAAAAAAATGAACAACAACTCATCAATCACTTAGCTGGGCTAGATCAATACCAACAAAACTTGCTTCTTGTTCACATTTGCAGCCACAATAAGATCTCTGGAAACCTCAATTATAGACCTTGACAGATGCCGCCTCCCATTCTATTAACATGAGACATCAGAGGCTAGTAGGTGAACCCTCAAGAAAACCATCACATACGTACCAAAATATGTTCAGTGGGATTAATGAGAAGAAACAAGAATGCTTTTAAAAAAACTACAGTGATAAGTAAATCACAAGCCACAATTATATAGGAAACCAAACTAAAATAACAACAAATTTTGCGGCATACAGCTTCACTAGACGATTAGGTAAACAGAACAGCAAAATATTTGTACACCTTCAATTGACCACGAGCACCAAAGGTCACTACAACAAATTCATCATAAAAATCCGATTGTCCACAAGATAATGCTGACCTTAACGATGATACTCGCTATCTGCAAATCTCTCTCAAGCTCTGTAACAAGCTGCATCCCTTTCACTGTAAATCAGCAAATTGAACATTGTTAATGACTTCGGCCAGGTAGCCATAGTTCCTACTACGTCAACGTAAACGAAAGATTTCTTGCAATTCGCAGTTTTCAGGTGTGATCATTGGCAAATACCACCTATTTCAAGTATATATTACAAACCATTCACCAAATATGTCTATGCTGCAAATGAATACATCAAGTGATTCAAGTTGTCCAAATAATGTCAGAAATAAATTGAACACTGGTCTCTCAGGAATAAATGTTCTGATTTTCTAGGTTTGCAACTTCATAGATTTGTCATGGCAGTAACAACGTACAGAACGAGTATGAAGGTGGCATCTTAAATTCATAATGCCATCATAAATGATGGTGACATCTTCAACAAGACCTAATTCGAAGAAAAATACCAGCCTAAAATACTCGAAATGTGCGCCACAGAGGCCGGTCTACGTTTAACATACACAGGTAACCGTGCCGTCTCCTTAAATGATTAGAATTTTGAAAAGACAACAGAAAATGTCGCATGTACACAACATACCCATCTCTTCATGGTGTTCCATCACCTGTTTAGACAAGCTTTCCGTAATAACATCAAGTTGCTGCAATCTCTGCCCAACCTGCAAACGATTGGCATGATAAAGGTCATGAAACACACCTTGACACTCAAAACAGGAAACGGGTCGAACCTGAAAGCATTAACTTTCATTGATACACCAGAATACGAATAAAACAAACAAGTAGTACATGGCGATCAGTATACTGAAACGGTACGTTACACAATTGTAATTTGTAAACGGGAAGCTCTGAGGAACAAAAGACTAAAGTGTCTTGAAAGTACAATTTGCAAGTAGTGTCAGGCTCTACGAAACATCCGCAATGTAATGAGAAACCCAAGTGTCTAATAAATATGCATGGATTCAAAGCATCTCACAGGGAAGAAGCAAGTCACTATGTATGCTGAGTCAAGAAGCTTTTCCTTCACATAAATAGTAAAAATCGATTCAAATTCCGAAGTTCAATCTCGAATACACTGCCTCAACGCAAGTTTGTACCTATAAAATGAAGTCGACTAGTGCTTGCCAAAAGCATAAGACAAAATCATGTATATCAACGCAATACCTGGCCATCAAAATAGCCTTGGTTGACACCTTCAGCTGGAATATGCTCCAGCAAATGTCTGACGGGGTCAAATTTCTGCTCAAAAACAAAACAAAAAAGTAACCAAAAACCAAAAAACAAATTGTAGTTGGAATCCTCATATAAAAAAGAGGAAACTAAAATAGTATACAAGTGAATGCATTATATGCTGTTCTACAATATTTTTCTCATCAGAGAGGTGGTTTCACTCTTGTTAGACCCACTACTTACATACAAAATCTGCCCATGCTTTAACAATTGCTCGTGAGAAGAACAAGCAGCCGCATCAAACTACTTATCTGAAGAAAGGCTAATATGTCCTTCAAGGTCTTTATCTATACCATCAAGAGTTACCGACGCAACTTTCATTGACATGGGTCGACCCCATTGCACCTTGAAAGCCATGAAAATGCTACGAAGGCAAATACAAACACTACAACTATTTCAATTATTAACGCATACACAGGGCTAAAGAAAAGGGGACATGCATATCAGAGACTCTTGACGTAGAACATGCAGAACATCAAACATGCTGAACCTAATTCTTGAGTAATGAAACATCAAGAAATTTTACGACTTGTAAAGAAAAGTGTTTGGAGATAACATACATCCTCATAGAACACTTCTTCAAGCTTCTCTGGTGGCTCTCCACGTAATCGAGCTGCATATATAGAACCCGCCCCTCCAGATAGCGACACTCGTTCATGGGGAGGAAGAGTGGCAAGTTTCCTGGCCACCAAAGCAGCAGCCGCAGCTCGAGCTGGTACCTGTTACAAGGAAAAAGCAAAGAATGACTTAGGAGATAAACAAGGGTATACTTAAGAACCTACATTGTATTTTATCTTTTGATATTAAACATGACAAATGCTCCCTATCTACAAGAACGAACCACATATCATGAAACATGTTTCCTCGTTATGCAACTGTGCGGCAATAGCCTCCTCTTTCAAGAAGATCTACTTTCTCTCTCTATTTGTCGGGCAGAGCGCAGTGCATTATCCCCTTAAAAAGCCCGCACTCAATCAAACACAGTTTCGCATTCAATGGTCATCGAATGCTGGCAATTCAGTAATTCTTGGTTGCTGTTGAGTGCTAAATTTAGATTGCAATCTTCAAGTCGTCATTTGCGCTGATTGTGACGACCTCAGTGCTGCATGAAGCTCTTTAAAACAAACTAACAACTCCATGCACGAGGGAGTGACCTGGCAGGACTTACTTCGAACAGACACAAGATCTTGTGAACAACTGCATGAATAACTGATCTGAAAACACAGGAAATAAGTATGCACTCCAATGCGGCCAGACAAACGATCCATTGTAAATCTCCTGGTTCGGTCCTGGTCACAATAATCCTAGGTACGATGCACAATGACGGTTTCGTAGAGGTTTCTATACGACATTTCCTCCTGGAATAACGATGATTTCGTAACTGACATAATTGAATTTTCAGAGTGAAATTAATCGCTATGGACTGCTAAAATACGTCATCTCTGGGCAAAGTGAACCCCACTCTGTAAGACTTCAGCAATGAGAGAATTGCCACAATTCATGTGGCCAACAAATTTCAGCGTGCAAAATGTCATACTAACTGAGGATATAGTTAGGGTAAGATACCTCAGGCCGTCCTGATGCTGACCTTGTTAGAACTCTTGAAGATGCCACTGTTTTAATCCACTTCTCGCCTAAGCTAAAAATATCCTCCATTTTTCAACTTCAATCTCTAAAAAGACCCTTCTAGCAATATTGCGAAGGCCTTGGAAGCGAGATCAAATCGCAACATTGATTTTCCTGTGCCCCCACCAACTACAACAGTAAGCCCTACCTAAGCACCTTCATTCCGTTCCAAAATCATGTCCTTCACAGGAAACCTCTGTGTCCAACACATTTCTGCTTGCACATAAAAACCTAACTCTTTGCGAGGGAGCAGCCATTTACTCCAAGACAGGACCTGTAAACGGAAAAAATTTCACATCCATCGCTGACAACGGCAGACTTCACGGAGAACGGAGAGACATGGCAGCCGCATGGGCCAATACCGAAAGCTCGTCATCAACCAAAATTCTCCTCTGCCTGTTGCCAAAGAAAATCAGCTGAATTCCCATTTCTGATCACTTCAGATCGTCAAAAGTACAATCCCCGTGCACTCGGTGTGAGCATCTCGCCCAATCCAACCCAATCCAATCCCCGCACACAAAATTCTCAACCACCTGCCCCATACAATCCTAACCTCCATCCCCGCTCCTCGGATCCTTCAAATTTGATCTCTCCTCACAAATCTGCCCGCTCCTCATTCTCCTCGCGCCTGCATTCCCTTCACCCTCTCACCAACGTTCCTTCACATCTCATCCCGATTTACGTTCCAACGTCCTCATACACCACCAAACAGAGCGCATCGCCCGACTCTCGCAGCCTGAGCAGCAACGACAAACTCCACCAAACAACAAACCAAAACTAAGAAAATACCGAAAACACAAAACACAAAAATAAAAATAAAAAAATAAAAAAATAAAACAAAAAAGACGAAAAACATAAGGAAATCCTACTCGTGTAATAAAAAGAGAGATGGTGGAGAACTCCAAATAGTGAAAGGCCCTAACCAAAGCAAGTAAGTGAGCGAGCGAGCGAGCGAGCAGAGACGAAGAAGCTCTTTCTCGCCGCGGCCTCTCTCTCTCTCGCTCTCTCGCTCCCTTACTCTGGCTCTAGGTTTGTGGGGACGTGTGAACGGGACCCTGGAATCCAAGCCAACCCACACTATTTCCCCACTTGGTGGATAATGATGGATCCTATTCTTGTTGGATAGGTCTGAACAGGACCCTGTTCCCTTCGTCGTCCCCCACGCTCCCTCCACCCCGGTGAACTTCTCGTCCTTGTTCCCTTTTTCCGTGACCCTTGTTCCGTTTCTTTATCACTCCAATTATTATATTCTACTTATTCTTGTCTACCATTTTCGTTGCTATTGTTATTATAATTAAATAAAAAATATATTTTGGGAAAGAATTATGTATTCTTTTCTCATATTTTTCTATAAGTGAAATTGTGATCGTTATTTTCAATTCTATTCTTTGTGAACGCTTTTTTAAGCCTAAATAGTCAATGTCTCATAAAAGTTTCATGCATGCACGGCTGAGGATATTTTTTTATAAGATGAAAAGATAATATTCTTATGTAAATGAATCAAATAATCGGTTACTAAATAGTTAGAAACAATGGTAGAGATTGATGTTTTAATCGATATTTGTTTTGTACATATGTTTGCAATAAATTACATTACTTAATAATATTTTTGTATTCCTAATCACTATTTTATTATTATTTAGTGTCACAAAATGCATCTGTTATATTTTTTTCATACATATAGGATTACAGAAGGTTACAAAAGGTTAAAAGACTACAACAAATTCTAATAGGCAAAAACACTCTTCTAAAGGTTTCACTAACACCATAGAAGGTTTTGAAAATTTAAGTATAACTACAATTATATTTAATGGATGGTAGTATTTAAGATATGAACAAAAAAAAGTAGAAACATAAATAGATTGGTGTCAAAGTAATAATCAAATTTAAAATGCGTTTTTGTAGTAAAATCCTAAATAAATTGTATCCTTTTAAAAAATAATATAATGAAGTTTGATAGATTATATACTCCTTTTCAAATAAACTCGCTTCACTAAAACGAAAGTGATAAGAAAGTTCAACTCTAGTTCTTGACAAAATGGTAAATATGAGACCACCTCCAACACATACTGGAAAAAGTAACATATTTTATCTAAGATCAGGAGCAAGGCGAACCAAAGCAAATACTGAGCTTCATTTGCTTTTAAGCCGCCCATAATCAAGGGAGCATAATAGCAGCTCTGTAACAACGTGAAATTATAAAGGAATGATCTGTTCTCACTCTCCCATTAGATCAATGGAGTAATCGAGAAGGAACACTATACGGTGGGGAGCTCAAACATAAAAATTCTTGCTTGAAATGCAGGAGAAGGAAACCCTTGACCATTATCAACATCGCCTTTCATATCTACACCTTGAGAACTTCCCCTTTGGGGGTGACTCTTCTTGTGGCCGTTCGCATTGTCACCAACTCCTCAGCAGCTGTCGGATGAATACCAACCTGAAAAGGTACACGACAATAGGAAATCAATATTATACTCCTTAATCTGACATTCAAACACATGTAATGGCCAAAACAAAATGATTTGAGGATTTATCGAAGACGTAGTTTACAGAGAACAACCGTCACCAGAAGCAGACAACTTCTGAACCTAGAAATCCTGTTGATACAGCTCAATGATGCATATGATAGTGTAGACATATATATATATATATATATATATATATTCACGCTCGTATTCTCAAGTCCGACGAGAATACAAGTAACGATACATAATATCATAGTTGAACTTGGCAGTAAGCCTTACCGTTGCATCGAACTGAGCCTTCGTAGCGCCACATTTAAGAGCAATGGCAACACCCTGCATTCAAACGAAAACTACTCAATATAACACCCAAAAGACCATTGCAACTAATAGGCACAACCACTGAATTCAGAATTAAGTCACTTCAGCGTCTCAGTTTCTAGAATAAATAAATAAATAAAACTTGAAAATGAAAATAATTCTTACTGACGCAATCAAAAAGTGGCATAAACATTAACATACCTGCATGATCTCCGCAGCATCAGGACCCACCATTCCAGCACCAAGAACTTTATCGGTAACGGCATCAACAATTAACTTCATGAATGTTTTCTCTACTCGCCTGTGAAAACGTTCCAACCAAAAATTGTCATGCATGGAAATCGTTTGAATGATTTTGTAAATCAGAGATTTGTACAATCTCTGCGCACGTTTCAAGTGTTGCCACAGATACACACTTACCCAGAAATAGTATTTTTCATGGGATTGAACGAGGAGGTGAAGACAAGTATATCATTCTTCGCTTGTTTCACAGCTTTGTCCTCAGTCAGGCCTACGACTGACAAGGGTGGTTGGCTGGCAGAGTCGAAGATAGTCAGGTCAGTAATAAAAACGGCACTCAAAAAAAAGGTTCAAGTAATGAAGTCGAAGCAATATGTACTGTTATTATCAGCATGCTGTTAATTGTTGTTTTAGATGTCCCAGTTTGCAACTACCAAGCAGAATTTGAGTGACACGTGGTAATAACAAACGTAAGCAACACCATATTTTTATATACATACATAGGCAGTACTTACCAGAACACCGCACTGGCAACGTTCTCATAGTCTGGCTTCATTGGTTTTCCACCGAATTCTGTTTTCTGGTCAACCAGCACAAACAGCTAGTCATTCAAGATTCATATACATACTTGTAGAACTGCGATTCACAACTCCAAACTACAATACGTGCTGGTAGAATCACATGCTGGACCTGATAACAAGACCATGATGTGGTTTCGTAAAAGAATGGCCAAGACCAGAGAGACTTACGGCAAAACACGTGCCCTCCATAAGTGCAACTGGCGTGAGGTTGATCCGGTTAGTGACATCTCCAATGGCCCAAATGCTAGGCACATTTGTTTGAGAATATTCATTCACCTGTATGCACGGATGAACTTGTGAGTAACGATGAGATTAATTAAATGACATATCATCGAAATCCAGACATTGATGCTCACCTTGATTGCACCAGTCTTATCTAACTCCACACCAACATCCTCCAATCCGATGTTTTTAGTTGAAGGCTTTCTACCTTCGCGAATCACGGCGATGTAACCAACGGTTAATATCCAGTAAAAAGAAAGCTGCATAAACTAGCCAAATTCAGCCTCAACAAACAAAAAAAATTAGAGTTTAAACTGGTTTCAATATGTCTAGGTTTCAGTTCCTTAGCATCGTTAACTGATAATAGTAAATCGAACAAAATTGGCTTGTGTTCAGTGATACTCTTCATAGCACATATCAGCATTTTACCTGTCGCAAACATGACAGCATCGACTTCGTGTTCTTCACCGTTGTCAACGGTGACCTTAATTCCACCTGCCACCTTCTCCAGCTGCGAGTGGTGAAGACACAGCACCAAATTTTCAAAACCACAATCAGATGATTCGAAAATTTTATTTTCCATGTTCTAGACGAGAGTAAAAAGCTCATACGCCGTAAAATTTGAGAGCTTGGTTTACAGCAATATTTGCCAGACGGGAAGAACATATACGGTAAGTTGAGATGGCACAAACCTTCGTGAGATTTGTTTCAGGATGGCATTTAATGCCTCGATTCTCAAGGTTTCTTGCTACAACTTCTCTCATCTCTTCATCAAATCCACTGTTTTATTCAAAAAATATATATTTAATTAGATGATGAGAGAGACTAGTTGCATCCAACAGCTACGTATCCATAGAAGCACCATAAACAAAAGAACATCGGAATCATTCACCGATAATAATCTACAGCAACTGGAAGAAGCATGTGCGAATACCTCTAAAGAACTATACAACTACTCTATAAGCGAGCGGGTGAGCATCCAAACTGAACTTACGTGAGAGGTAAGGGCTTCCTGTAAAACAAGTCCACCTTCGCTCCCATTCCACTGTAGATTCCAGCAAACTCCACGGCAATATACCTGGCAATTGAAATGCAGAACTGATTCAATTGCAAGCTCTTAACCCAAGCCACTTATATACCGTCTTTGGATTAAAATTTAGCGAATTTGAAGGACCAATGCATAATAGTGCAGCATTCGACATATACCATGAAGTTTATTACTGCAGCAATGATAAGCACCAGTTAAACTAGTGGAAGAATAGGTCTACAAAGGCCAGTATATTCAAAACATCCCACACAAAGGATTCACGTGAAAACTTTATATCATCCAAAAACTCGTACTGGTCATAGACTACTCATATTTCGTGAGTGATATCAACAAACTATTTAACATAAGAAAGAATGTGGTGAGGTGACCACATACCCTCCGCCGGCAATGACAACTCTTTTCGGAAACTCCTCCAAACTCAAACCCTCGTCAGACGTAATGGCCAATTCCTGCATTCAATGGTTCGATATGCGCATACGGGCATCTGAGAAATCGGATCCATCCAGAGCATCTCTTAAACATTTGACCATCACACCTGAAAAAAAAAAAAAAAAAAAAAAAAAAAATCCTAATTACTTAGCGACAAATTCAGTTCGCACAGACAGAAGGTAACCTTTCCGGGAATATTCAGGGGAACAGCACGTCCGCCTGTAGCAACCAAGATTTTTTTGGCAGTAAATCGCTTCACTTCTCCACCAGTTTGTTCGACATCCACTGTATGAGGATCAACGATTTTACCACCACCTTCGTACATGTCAACTTTAGACCCAGCAAGCAACCTCTTGTACACTCCATTCAGCCTAATAATTTCTTTTGTCTGCAAAAAAAAATAGATAGAAAGCGCACAATATTAATATAAACTATACTAACACGAGGTACTACCAGATTCAGTATGATTATCCAAGGCACGTGAACCGTGATCCTGAAATCTGCTTACCTTATTTGCAATTAGCCTTTTCCAGTCAAAAGTGATGTCGCCATTTATGTTCCACCCAAACTCTCTTGCATCCTGCACACGAAAAAACCCATGATATAAACTGCCTGAAAACCTTCAACCACCATGCTGCGCCTGCCACTTAGCTCAACATTGCAGAGATGTCATAAGGTAGTGCCCGAAACTTTCGGCGTTGAAATTATAATGACTACCCACAAATGGCAGCTGAGGGTGAGAGCTCACCTGGAACTCTCCGCCGAAGGCTGATCCATACACCAATATTTTCTTCGGCACACATCCACGCAGCACGCAACTGCCAAAAACAACAGTCAGCATTTCTGACTGTAACGTTCATTGTAAATTTCTACGGTCAAAGGAACAGATCGGTTCCATACAAACCCTAGAGATGTTAACGTGGTAGCTAAAACTCCTACAATACCCACTTATGAACGCTAATACCTCCACATGATAATAGCAGTGGAGCTTCATCCCATTGCCAGTCGAGAAGTCAATGCTCTAACGAAGCTAGATTCTGGAGAGCTTCAAACACGTGTTCATATACATAAGGGAAGTAATAAGGAATTAGGCCATACGTCCCACCAATGCCTCCAGCAGACTCCGAACTGATTGGATGGTATGGTAATTCGCAGATGGCAACCTGATAATCCAAGGCACACGCTACTTTCATGTTTATATCCATTGACGTGGTTTAGATATTCACCAAAACAGAAAAAGATGAGAGCTTAGAATTCTACAAGTGTTTATAAAAGCGATTGCAAATACTCATTCACATACTTTTGCCCCAAAACCAGCAGCAGTTCGAGAAGCTCGAACGCCACCACTTCCAGCCCCTATGACGAAGAGATCATAGTCATATTCCACTGGCCCTTCACCGTTGTCATCGTGCAAGGCTTGTTCCCCAGGTTGAGGAAAAGTGCGAGGCATCCTGACCAACAGCACCTAACTGCAAAAGAGGCCACGTAGACCATTTTGGATATGATCATTCGGTCAGATTTAAAGTTGAAGCAGGCATCAATCCCGAAATTTGAATGAAGATCACGACTGAGAGGCTTCTACAGGAAGTTCAAAACTTCAATATCGACGGCAGACACGAACGACAATGTCAGCACACTTTCCCGATACCATGAGAATTCTTCATTCGATTTAGTAAATCAGAGCACTAAGACAATACCCGTCACTCTAGCTATTCAAACCAGCCAGTAGTCATTCTGACAGTAAACCAAAAAACGACTAACAGATGACGAACTCCTGAGAAATGACAAGGATCTGAACTCAAGCCCTCCCGAGTACACCCAAATTAGCGGCAAGATAGTCCAATCCAAAACCTGGTACTTCTCAAATCGCTCAAAAACCAAGAGCAAGTTGCGAAACGCATGAAATTCGAAAAGACGAACCCGTTAAAAACACTGTACAAACTATCTCAGGACGTGAATTGAGAGATTCAGGTACGGAGAGCGGCTTACTAAGCAAATTTTCGAAAAAACAAACTGTATGAAAGCGGAGAGACTCTGGGGCTCTTTCAATTAATCCGCCTACCCTAGCAACGTAAGATACGTGTGTGGTTGAGGAATTTGCTAGCTCAATGTAGGCCGAAACTAACTTGAAAAAAAAAAAAAAAAAAAAAAAAAACTCGAATGCAAACTTCTCTACACCCTAAAATCCTTGATGCGATACTTCGGACGAACAACCAGACCAAGACCAGCAGAAACTCGGACGAGAAACGAAACAAGAAATACAGTCAACAAACAAATTCTCAACCCACGGCGAAAATTTAAAAACAAACACACCACCCCCCTACTCCACTCCGCTCGCATCCTCAGCACAGAAACCACCACCTCCACGCACAAAGCAACGCCAAATACCCCGACAACAAGATCCAGAGGAAGCACTGAACTAAAATCGCGAAGAGACTCGCACAGGAATCCCTCACAACATTGGCTGCCCAGCACACAGCAAGACAGGTCCCACCTTCGCTCCCGCACTCAGAAACCCGACTCCGGAACGCGAAACGCAATCACAAAGCAAGAAAACACTCTCGAGGAATAATCTCAACACAAGGGAAGTAATCTTCGAGGAGAGGAAGCTAATAAGCTGAGATGAGGGATCAGCACACAAGTGTCAAAGAAGAAGTGGGACAGCAGCAGGTGCGGTGTTCCCCCTTTAAGCCAGACGTGGCAGAGGGGCAACGAAAACAGCCTCGGAAAGGAATGTTACGATGGTGATATAGTTCTAAATACTCGCAGCAAAGCGAATATGATCGCCGGATTCAGTGGATATGCGGTGACCACATGGAGCACATTACCAAGAGACACGAAGCGAGCACGGGCACGAGCACGACGACGAGGAGACGGAGGGAAGGAGTAAGAGCAGCAGCGGCGTGAAGAGGGCCCAGCAACAAACAAACAAGGGAAAAGGATTCGTGAGACTACTACTACTACTACTCTTGTCCCCGTTTTGTCTTGTCCCGTGCTGTGAAGATGGGTGCGAGGTTTCCCTCGTTGTAAGGTGGCCCTGCTCTGATCTGCTCTGATCTGCTCTGCTCTGCTGCTTGTAGTAGATTCACGCAATTCCTTCGTTGCTTGGTTGTTGTGCTCTGGCATCATCGAGAGCTCTTGGCATCATCGAGAGCTCTTGGCATCATCGAGACACACCACGTCAAAGCAAGCAAGCAAGCGAAGTTGAGCCCTCACCTTCCTTTCCTTTCCTTTTCTTCCCTTACCCACTACTTATTTACCTTAATAAAAACACTTGTTTCTAAAAACAGGAACAATCCTTGCCCTCCTCCGCTCATTTCTAGATATTATTCTCTCCACTTATTGTGAGCTTATATTATTTGTGTTTGTATTGGTAATGGTGCAAAAATTGATAACAGTTGTAGTGAATGAATGTGGTGATTTTAATGGTCTGTCTCTCTACGGTTTTTGGAGTTTGGAAGAAGATCTTTTACCTATCGACTTACTTCTAGTATATCGACTTACTTCTTACTTCTAGTATCGATAAAGTAATGTGCAATTGTGTGCATGTTTCTACACACACACACACTGGCTTGGTGTATGACATGGAACAAACATTTTTGAATGTATAATAATGTTTTCTATTATTACCAGTATCAAACAAGAATTGTAACTTTTAGCTAGTATGTATTTCAAATCTTTATGTACAATAATAAACATGTAATACTTGTTTCCTAAATATATATATATATATATATATATATCGATTAACTCAAAACATGGGTTTAAGAACATTTTAAGAAATCTAGGCAAAAGTATTTATACTTTTTATCATTTTAGAGTAGTTTTTCCTACATCAAACGGTCTGAACAATATAACAATCAAGAGCCATTATATTAATCAAATCATAGAGTTCATGAATTGGTATCTAATTCAAACAGCCCATGAAATATCTAAAACAGATGAATGAAAAACTATACATCAGTTGGTACTGCATGGATGAACAGTAAATCCGAGGTGGCTTAAACCTAAAACCCTGAATGAATGACCTCGCGCGAGGGTGTTTCTGGAAGAAAGGCTTTAGGAACCCGAGCTTGTGAAGAAGAAGAAGCTTGTGTGTGTGTGTGGCCTCTTCGATCGTGCGCGCTCTTCCCCACACTTTCCGTGATCCATTTCTTCTTCCACCATGGCCACCACGGTACCGTCTTCTTCTATTCCGATCTCGTTTTGCCTTTCAATTTGGCCTTCATTCGTAACTTCTGTCGTCATTTCCCTCGACGTGTCTCCTCCTCTTTCCATTCGGGCTTTGGTGTAGGGTTGTGAGGAGCCATGTCTTGTCCCTGGTTGTGTGCGATGGTGGATATGTGCGTTTCGAATGAATGAGGAAATTTTCTGTTCGTTTGGAATCGAAAACGCGCCTCGTAATGTCGAAATACAGTCCTGGTGATTTTTTTTTTTTTTTTTTTTTTTTTTTTTTTTTCATGTATTGGCGTTTCAGAGAGATGATTTATAGTGGATACGAGAATGAGTGGGAGCGAGAGTGAGATGATGTCGCGCGTGGCGTGGCGTGGCGTTTGTGTATACTTGGATGGATTGGTTTACTTTCCCATGTCCAACGCAATGCAATCTGCGTAGAGATAGCGCACATTGAGAGATTGTGGAGCATGATAGTTCTCGGAGCTATTATTTTCCACGGTGATTTAGATCGGTGAGATTGTAGCACGTTAACTTTAACTGGCTGAAATGCCTTCATTGTAGACAGCTAGTTTGTTGCGTAGCACACCTGGAGCTTGCTATTCGTTTCTTGGGGTGAACTCAGCACAGCATTTGTGTTGTCTTATTTTTGACACGCGATTCATGGTGTTTGGAGTTTTTTGGTTTTAGGAATCAGCAGTTCAGCCTGTTCATTTGCAACTCAATCGGCTTTAATCATTTCTTGTATAGTTAAGTTACCTATGTATTGATTTCTTTCAAAGACAGAAGCTTCTGCGACAACATTTATGCAGCAGGGCTTATATCCTACCTTAATCATCAACCTGTCCAATGCTTTGCAGGGGGAGTTGATCAAGGCAGACGCCATGGAAGAAAAAGGCGAGAGAGCAAGGATGGTATGTTGCGATCCTCCGCTAATTAACTGTATTAACATTATGCACTCTCTGGAAAATCAACTTCTCAGCAGCTGAAGCCAACATCTACTCTATTGTTGCAGAACGTTATCATAGGTTCATTAGGCGCTCTCATTTCCAACCCCTTCATTCCAACCTGTAGAGAAATTTATGTCATTCTTCTATCTATCCTTTTTGCCCACAAGGTGGTGTTTTTTCTTTTGATCTAAATATCAATAACACAGTTCAGACGAGTAGGCGTTTTCTTTTTGAATTCCGCACACCATACTGAAATTGTCGCTTCACTTTTTAAATCTTACGAACTTGCGGATGATTGCTTCCTGTTTTCTTGCAGGCTTCCTTTATTGGTGCAATGGCAATAGCAGACCTTGTCAAAAGCACCCTTGGACCTAAGGGAATGGTGCGCTCCAATCCTTGTTTTGATTACATGTGTAATGCTATGTAAAAGGATAGGTTTTGGATGATGGATTTGAAATGAAGTGTATCATGCACTAGATGTTAATTGAGGTTTATTAATATTCTGACCAACAGTCACTTTTCACATCTAGTTTACAAATCTGAGATCTAGTGCATGCCAGGATAGTTACGAGGATAATCATCGCTTGCAGAATCTTCTTTGTTCTTTGTTGATGGCGACAACAATTCATAGGATATACAGGTTGAAGTGCCTCAACTTTTGCAAGCTTCTGCGATCAACTTCACATGCGCTTTGATTTCACAACAAAAATGTGTATATCATTTGCTTTTGTGCAGGATAAAATTCTTCAATCTACTGGTCGCGGCCACAGCGTGACGGTTACGAATGATGGAGCCACTATATTGAAGTCGCTACACGTTGATAACCCCGCTGCCAAAGTCCTTGTTGGTGCGTTATCTTTGGGCATGCTTTTTTTTGACCCAACTGAACTACATTGTTACTAGTGAATCGCTGTTATGTTTATTTAGTCTGACAGGATTTCATCTATTTTCTGCGAGGAAACGCAGCGTGCGCTATAAGGACTTTGGAAATCCTCAGGGATTCCTTGATGCAAGCATCTTACCTGTCATAATTGTAAAGGAATTTTCTTTACATCATCAGTTGGTATGCTTGTGAGCTGCGTGGTTGATACGACGAGCGGCTGTGCTCTCTGTTCGTATTTGGCAGATATTTCCAAGGTCCAAGATGATGAGGTTGGAGATGGTACAACATCTGTGGTAGTCTTGGCGGGGGAGTTGCTAAGAGAGGCAGAGAAGTTGGTCGCTCTCAAGATTCACCCAATGACCATTATCGCCGGTATGCAGAACATCTTCATGAAATGTGAACCCTGTGCGTATATATATATATATATATTTTTGTGTGTGTGTAAATTCCATGTAATCGTTTTGTCTACTTAGAAACCATTTTTTATTTCGTAATGTTGTACTATTTGTAATGTTTAAAAAAGACTTGTTCCTAGTGCTTCATATTTATCTCATTTTCATATTTTTCATATGTGCAGGATATCGCATGGCTGCTGAGGCTGCACGTAGTGCTTTAGAAGCTGCTGTTCGTGACAACAGAGATGACTTTGGTACTTCACAAACGCTTATTCTTCGATTACTCGAGTTGAGTTTTTTTATCTTATTATTATTATTATTTGCAAATTATGATAGGGAGTGATTGTTTTTGTCAAAGCTGAAAAGCATTGATTTTTTTAATTACTGAATGTGTGAATATGCTGTAGAGAAATTCAGGTCTGACCTTGTTAACATTGCTATGACGACGCTGAGCTCCAAAATTCTATCACAGGACAAAGTACATTTTGCTAATCTTGCTGTTGATGCTGTACTTAGACTCAAGGTACATACTCGTATGTGTAAATCTCCGGTGTTGAAAATTCTGTCTATAATTTGCCTATAAGTTACTACTCATTCTGGAAGTTGTTTGAGATTTTTGCGTTATTTATGTGGCCAGCTTATTGCATCGTTCTTTGTATTACTGATGGCATTTTCTACGAATTTCCTTTTGGCCGTGTTTTCTAATTGCCCATGCTGAAGCAAATGGCGATTAATGGATGCAGGGCAGTTCAAATATGGAGGCCATTCAGATCATTAAGAAATGTGGCGGAGCACTGAAGGATTCCTTTTTGGACGAGGGGTAGGTTAATGAATCAAATTCTTCTTGGCTACCTCTAAGAAGCTTGTATCTACCAGCATTTATACTCGATTTTCTCTCTTAGTGACTAAATTTGGAATCCTGGGGTTCCAGGTTTATTCTGGACAAGAAGATCGGAGTCGGTCAACCCAAACGGATTGAAAATGCCAAAATTCTTGTGGCTAATACTGCCATGGATACTGACAAGGTCAAAATTTATGGTGCACGTGTGCGTGTGGACTCCATGTCAAAAGTGGCGGATATCGAGGCAGCTGAAAAAATCAAGATGAGAAATAAGGTTGATAAAATTATAGGGCATGGCATTAATTGTTTCGTCAACAGACAACTCATTTACAACTACCCGGAGGAGCTCTTCGCAGATGCAGGGATCATGGCTATCGAGCATGCTGACTTCGATGGTATTGAACGCTTGGCACTCGTGACAGGAGGCGAAATTACCTCAACATTTAATGATCCCGAGAATGTTAAGCTGGGTCATTGTAAATTAATTGAAGAGATCATGATTGGTGAAGACAAACTTATCCATTTTTCAGGTGTTGCAATGGGGCGGGCTTGTACCATTGTCCTACGTGGTGCCAGGTTAGCACCTCCCGCATGGTCTCATTCATTTATTGGTATTGTATTTCGTAAGGAAGTATGTGTCTTACTTGGCCTTTATTCTATTTGTTTTATGTAAATAATCCTTTCACTATTTTGAACTTGTGTTTGAAATCCGATCATGACAATCTTCTTTGTTATGTGGTGTTCCTTTGGCAGTTCACATGTGTTGGATGAAGCTGAGCGGTCACTTCATGACGCACTCTGCGTACTGGTTCAGACAGTTCAGGATAGCCGTGTCATCTGGGGTGGTGGATGGCCAGAGTTTTTAATGTCTAGACGTGTGGAGGAACTTGGGCGTAAAACCCCAGGGAAGAAGTCGCTTGCTATTGATGCTTTTGCGACTGCTTTGCGAGCCATTCCTACCATCATTGCAGACAACGCTGGATTAGACAGTGCGGATCTGGTCTCCCAATTACGTGCAGCTCACTCAGCAGATGGTTGTAGGTCCGGCATTGACATCATATCTGGAAAGGTACAGCACCAAAGCATTGTATTGTCTTGAACTTAGTTCAAATTTGTTTTGAAAACGCTAGATTTGTCTCCCAAAATATTACATTACCGAACACTCATTCTAATCTTGTCCGTAGGTAGGAGATATGGAGAAGCTTGGCATCTATGAGGCATTCAAGGTGAAGCAGGCGGTTCTAATGTCTGCTACTGAAGCCTCCGAAATGATCCTGCGCGTGGACGAGATTATCAAGTGCGCACCTAGACAGAGAGAAGACCGAATGTAAGCATTGTGACCACATTAAAAAAAACAAAAAAATGGAGTATTGATTTTGAGGATTGAACGACTCAAACTATCTTTTTCCCGCACGCTACATCTTCAAGCCTGTGCATCATGAATTGGCATCATCAGCCTGATCATCAGCTTAGTGTTCAAGGGTAGGTGTAGATACTGTCTCCACAAATTAAATTAGGTGAGCCTCGGTTGGATCCTGTATGCTACCTGCTTACTAGAAGGTATTTCTGCAAAAGAGTAATCTCTATACTAGGTTGTGTTAGAGGCATGGGACATGTAGGTTGCCTATATCTGGTACCCATTTTGAAACTAAACAAATTAGTGTGTGACTGGTATTAGGAACACATTAGCTCCACTCTTTTGAGGGGTAGCTTTTCGTATATATGTGGGTTAAAAGTTGTCATTCTCTTGTCGCTGGAGTAGCAGGACGAAGTCCAGTTGGGTTGTGTACTTCACAACATGCGTATTTGCTCGTCTATATTTGTTGTCAGAGTAAATTTAAGATGTGTATTTGTCCTTCTAATCGTAGTTTAATAGTGCCTGAAATTTAGTTCTTCTTTCACTATGCACTTAAAAGCCAACCTCTGTAGTTCAAACTTTTGAAGTGTATTTAATACACAAAGTATTTCAATACTGTGTGAAAACCAACAAGAAATTATGAAGTTTTACTGACTCTCATGAGGTTGCCAAAACCAACCCGGGCAATCAGTTCTTGTGTAGACTTACATTCAGTGTCTTTGCTAGTTAATCAAACTCGATTTTTTTTAAATTCTTATTACATATTCAAGAGATCTGAATCAAGTCAATGTGCACATCAATACAAAAAAAAACGTGAAGGATCCTGCTGTTAAATTAGTTACGTATACTCTGACCTGCAGTTATTGTGAAGAATTTCTTCTAAAATAAATTTAAACAGAAAACTTCCATTTGAAGTGCACAGTCTCAACTATTATCATTGAAAAAATTATGTCATTGAGAAAATTTCATTTTGAAATACTGATTCTTTTAATATTAAATGTTTCTCAAATCCTCGACAAAACTTTAAAAATTGCATGCTCATAAGAACTAGTTTGAATTAGGTTATTATTTCAATATGTGCTTGTTTGGAGTGGAAATAAGATGCTTAGATATTCTAATTGTTCTCATAGAACAGCTATTTTTGCATGTAACCCAAATGTTATTTAATAGAATATTCAGTAATTGTATTTTATTTTAAGAAGTTATATGAACCATGTTTAAGAAATAGAGAATTTATAAATCTGTTAAGTTAATTTCCAAGTGTTTAAGGGAAACCAATCGGCTCACTTAATTGCACAATAACACTAATACTACGGTCAATTCCATTTTTGTTCAATATGGAGGAATATATATCGAACAACTTTCTGAACTAAGATTTTATCCCAGTTTTAATACAAGCACAATTCTTGATGTTCTTTTTTGCAATTGTTTAAAAATGCATGGCATCTGAGTTCGAACTTCGTGATGAAAACGATTGAAAACCATATATATGATAAATCAAATGGTCCGCAGCAATCAATCTGGCATGTAGCCTCATATTACATACCGAGAAGGAATAATTGACTCTTCAACATAACTTGTTGGCCTCATGACAGATGGCAAAAAATTCTACGCTAAAGTACTTCGAAACTAGCATAAATAATGTGAAACTAGGTGGATTTGGTCAGTTTGATGGAAACTTTGAGCTTTCCCTGTCAAGTCTCACAAATGAATGTGTCTACTTGAAACTGAAACTACATCCTCTGGGAGGCTTGCTGGACTACCCCACCAATGCGATAAACTACTTCCTCTCTGCAAGAAAGCCCGCATGCAAATCTGCAAAAACGAATTTGCACTTGGACTAGAATCCCAACTCTTTTCCATACCCAATGCATGATGCCTTTTGCCACAGAGATTCTCAGTGAGATGTCATACCACCTCATCTGTATAAAAGCCGAGTAATGGAAAGTGGCAGATATGCGAACATTTCTAATACAATAAACCCTTCAATCCCTCTTCGTCCTTTCCTGTCAGCACACGTCGCTGTCTGTGCTCAGCAACCTTATAGTCAACTACCTCCCTGAACGTATCTGCATCCAGAACGCTGCTCTGGCTTCCATAAACAGCACCCTGCACAAGTCATATGGAAGAAGCCTTAATCCAGGTAGAAACCACTTCCAAAAAGTGAGAAACTCAAAGATAGGGTTTCAGGCAAGAATCTCGAACCAACAAAGGCGGGAAAAACACGGACAGGTACAATCCATGCCTGTTAAGCCAGGGAACTTGGTATTTGCGAGAAGAATTGAGGTTATATTCATGAAGGAAATATGCAATTATTAGAATTAAAATTAGACTCTAGGAAATTTTCAAATTGTTTTTAGTTGCATCAAATATGTATGTGCAAAGTGCTACCTGAACACTGGCCATCAACTTAGCAATCTCACGACCGGAGAATCCCTCAGTCTTTTCAGCAGCCTCCCTCAAGACCTCTTCTGTAATCCCCTTTATCTCAATTTTGTCTTGTTGGCCTCGTAACCAGCTCCGCCAACCCCGAGAGAAATTCCCCGCTTGAGCAATGTATTTCTCTAGATATAACTTTAGAAGTTTGAGGCGCTCTTCTTCACCAGGAAGTGGAAATTCCAAAGCCTCGTCAACACGATCCAGCACAGCTGAATCCAGATCACTTGGTCGATTAGTAGCAAGCACCATGACTATATCTCGTGATTGATCTCCGGTGCGATAGAGCAATGCGTTCAAAGCACTACGCTGGGACTCACTCATGTTTGTCTTGTTCCGCCTGCATCACTCACTATGATTAAATTCTCATAAAGCCCAGGAACGGATGCGGGGCACAGAACACAAACAATGTTACAAGTTGGCGTTGAAAGGAGACTTACTGGCACAAAAATGCATCAGCTTCATCGATAAACAGTAGAAGACCCTTATTGCTTCGGCCAGCCCAATTGAAGAGCTCATGGATCTTAGTAACAGCATCAGCACCCAGTGGAGCTACGTCACCACCAGTCATCAATGCATAATCCAAGCCCTGAACACTCAACATTAATCATCATGTGAAATTAATGTCATTTAATGCAATGCAGTCGGAGCCTTTAACAATCAGCAATACTAACAAAACTGCCATCACATCAAAAAAAATCTTGCTTACCTGATAAATCAAATTCACTGGTTGCAGCACAAAAAAATAGCTCTACTTGTCGACTAACCAGAGAACTTTCAAGCAAGGATACAAGTCCGAAATTGGCAGTTTATATGTCATACATTCAATCAACAACAAACTGATACACGTAATGCTATACAAGGTATAAAGCGACAGTGGAAGTTGAAAGTAACACCGAATACATCGGAAGTTTGAGAAAACTTGATTTCCTAAGGAATAATCGGTCATGTTTCGTACCTGGATTGAAAAAAAAAGAAAAAAAAGAAAAACGAAGATCTTACGCAGGGCTCAAAGAACACGAAATCCATAACATGAAACTTACCGATTCTTGAGCAAGTATTTTAGCTGCCATGGTCTTGCCAGTTCCTGGAGGCCCATGGAAAAGCATATTGCGGTAAGGAGCTGCATGTTGTTTAGTGTTGGCTGTTACTGAAGCTAGCTGTCGGATCCTGCTATGTAATGATGGATGAAGGACCACATCTCCAAACCCTTGCCCAGTCTTCATAGCCTGTGTCCTTTCAGCAGCCCCACCAACAGCTGGGGTGCCACCGGCTCCTGAAAGAGAACTATTTTTACGTTTTATAATATTTGACCAAGGGTATTTGCCTCGTGATGATTCTCTAACCAAAGACGGTTGCCCTAGTATTCGATCAATGTGGCTCCACAATACACGGGCCCCCTCCCTGAAAAAGGGCAAGACGTCATGCGCTGTGTTTATGAAAGCAATCGGTGTCTGGTTGGAAAATCGCCAAATCGTGTGCATACCAGAATGAAACTACTGTACAAAAGTCTGTAGTGACGAATGTCATCCCATCTAATCGGAGACTGAAACAAATATTTGAAAAAAAAGCGATAGAAGCAGAGTCAGACCTGGTAGTATATACTCCCGCTGCCAAGGCAGTTGCTCCTCCAACGGCAACGACAAGCTTGTTCTGATCTGTCAGTATTGCGTATATTCCGCCTGCAACCACAGAAAGACACGATATTACTTCCCACATCAAGTGAGAATAGAGACATAGACAATCGCACTCTGATCCAAACAATACAGAATAGAAACCAACAAGAATCGAACGAAGATGATATTATTACCTCCAATATGACTGAATGTGGTATTAATAGCAGCTAGCCACTTGTCCTTCTCCATGTTAGCACGCTCGACCAGAAGTCTTCTGTTCACGTCCTCAGCCATCTTAGCCTCATGAGCTCGCCCTTCAGCCTCTGCCATTGCCTTCACTCGAATGGTTTCCCTCTCAATTTCAGCCATCTCCTTTTCTGTTTGACGCCTCTGTGCTTGAATCTGTTCTTCTGTGTTCCTTCGAATCTGTTCCTGTCGCAATGCTGCCTCTTCCTGCATCCTCACTAATTCTTGATTTCGTTGCCTATTTGCCTCATGTTCACTCTGAAAAGCAGTAAAAAAAGGTGATTAGAAACAAATGTCTTGACCAAAAACAGGCTTCGTCCCACAACAGTGGAAGTACAGCAATATGAACGCACTTGAAACTTCTTTCCTGTAAAACTGATGCTTTATAGATTACAAATAAGAGTACTTACCTGCATCCGCTTGCGTGTAAGTTCATCTTCATATCGAGCCAACTGGGCCTTGTTCTGGGCTGTCTGCTGTAACAATTTCTTTTGCTCCTCATATATTACCCTTTGTCTCTCCTACGCAACGGAATAGAGCAAACTTTTTGAGCGGTGAATGTTTGAGAATACTCAAAGCGTCACATTCTTGCAACTAGTCAAGCTAAGACCCTTATTTAAAAAAATTCAAATTCAGCATTAAAATACACAGCTGTGATACGGAACTAAATAAATCAGCTCTTCTAACAATAAGGACAAGGATATCACTGAAAATCTATATGTTCTCTCTAAAATTGAACATCTTCGTATTCACTTCATGTTATTCTGAACTCTAAACTGCTATCATACTCAACGTTGATATGCACTAGATAGGACGTCAGTTGCTGTTCCATGACAAGCACTCTATCATAGCAATTCTGGAAATCGTCTACTTTGCCTTTCTTCAGTCCTCCTCAAGAAAACATACACTCATGAATAATATCATTGTTGACAAGCGCGTTGGATTCAGGTTGACTCTACAAACTATAATCATCATCGTTAATTGAGTTACAAGCTTGATGGAGGACGCGAAATACCGTCTCGTGTTGAGCTTGCATGGCTTGATATTCGGCTCTACGAGCATTTTCCTCTATTTGCCGAGTCTCTTCCTGTTTCTTCATCAACTCAAAAACCTGCAAAGAACATAGCATCAGCTTTGATAATGCACGTGATCATCAAGCACAGACTGGAGAGATAATAGACATCTCCCAATCCTGGCGAAATTTTTTGTCACTAATTATTTTCCGTGTACAATGAGCATGATACTCGAGGGCAAAGTGATATCTAGTCACAATCCTAAAAGGAGTTATACAAAGCCACCCCTGCGATTCCAGTAGCCTTAAACCCTACCAAGGGTTTAATCTCTGTGACATACAAGAAAGGGGCTTAAACCCTCACTAGGGTTTAACATGGACCCGCTACGAAAGTGGAACAAACATAGGCTCCTGAAGAATCATTCATCGACTTGGGTGCTCGACATGAACATGCAGAGGATTGTCCTCAAAAAACACTATCGAAAGTGGGGATTCGTTCAAAATTGACCGCAGCGTAATTTATTTTTTTTCAAAGAAAGAGAAAAAAAAGGGGGAAACAATCAAATTTCTGGAGCAACTAATTCACCTTTTTGGCATGATTAGAGGCATTAATTTCCCGAAGTGCTTTGGCACCTCTCTCCAATGCCTCTGGGTCGAACCCAGCGGCGGATGTGCGCGGAGCATCATTGCGAGGTTTTTCCTCTTTCACTGGAGTGGGTGTCGCGGGAGCCGGAGCAGCAGAGGATGATGCGCCGAACAGAGATCCGGAATCGAGTCTTTTGTCAGCAGAGGCAGGATTACAGGCAAGCACATACGAGGCCGACGCGATCGCACCAGCTGAGCTAGCCACCTTCATTAATGCACTACTTGCCATCGTTCCCAATACTCTCCCAAACAAAATAAAACTAGACAAAATAAAACTAAAAAGTAGAAGCTCCTCTTGTCCCTCAAAAAGATGCCTCAAATGCGCATCACAACAAAAAAAATCCTCTACAGCTATTCAGGAAACTTCTTCAGTCCATATCCCACCACCAACTCCTGCGAAAAATCCAACACGAAAACACATTTATGAACTCATCCACATCCTCCACCGCTTCCAACCTCCTGGCAAGCACTCCTTCATGCTCCAAAACCCTAAACCTCCCACACAATCTATTCCAAACCCACAAAATTGAGAATGCACCCACGACAACAATTCTCAAACATACAAAAAATTCCCAACAAGGAGCACAATGACACAAGCACGAACCAGTGGGCCAGCTGCGAGAAGGAGGCGGGGAATGAATACCTGAGAAGAAGCGGGGTAGAAAGAAAGCAGCATGTCAGGCATACTTCGTGGGAAACAAGGAAACGAGAAGGGAAAGGGAAATTTTGGAGGCAGCTGCCTTTCGCGGCTGGAAAAGACAGCTCCCTCCGTCCGTCCGTCCGTTATTTTCGGTTCGTTTGTTCGTTCGTTCAATCGCCTTCTTCGTTCGTTCATCCTTTTCTCGTTCGTCTGTATGTCGGTCCGTTCGTGAGTCTGTTTATTCGGGGTCCATTGCATGTTGCGATCCTGGGACACGGAATTAGGATACGAAAGCAGGTCGGTTGCGGTTATAGCGTTAAACCATGAATTCCTGATTTAGGGTATGCTTGACCACCGCGCCTAGTTGACCTATGTTGATTTGTAATTGATTGATTTCATGGATTTGGTGATTAACTAACATATTCTAATAGAGGATTGCTTTATGAATTTAGTTGATGGAAAAAAAAATATATGTATATGTAAAAAAATATATGTATATGTAAAAATATATATGTATATATATGTAAATATATATATAAATAAATAATTAAATAAATAAACAAACAAACAAACTTTGATCAATTTATTTATTTTTTTTCTCCTTTTTGGAACTTTAGCTCAGGTAAATATGTAAATTGAATTTATCATATCTATGTGAGGAAAAGTTTGAAATCAAAATGTGAGTGTGTTTTTCATTTTTTAAATTATTATTATTGATCAACATTCAAACTTTGAAGAATAGAATTGCATTTTACAATGTACAAACAAAGCATAGATGAAAAAGGAAATTTATTTTAATCTCTCTCTCTCTCTCTCTCTCTCTCTCTCTCTCTATATATATATATATATATAGATTCATATAGAATAAAACTAAGAAATGATAATATGTTTTGTTAAAATAAAAACTTGAATCATATAATTATCAAGTTTGTTGATTAATGTTTTTACTTAATTGCAAAAAAAAAAAACACATGGATAATTGTAAGAGCGAAGCAATTAATAATTAGTAGAGTGGTTTGGATCACATTAGAAAATAATTTATAAATTTAAAATTATAGTAATTAATTTTTAGAAAAAAAAAATACATGGATATAAGATAATGCACTTTAGTATATGAAAAATATAAAAATAAATTATAATCTATACTAGGTGAAACTTAAAACTTAACATTATTTATTTATTTAGATAATTATTTTGAAATATGAGTATCATTACAAGTAGTGATAATGATTATTAAAATATTATACTTATAACTTGTATAATCTAATAATTAATTTGAATTCATTGTAATTATTATTATAAAAGTTAAAGTAATAAAAAATAAATTTAATAACTAATTAAAAAGAAAATTTTAAAAAGATTCTAACTTAAAATTATCATAACAAAATATTTGTGATAAATTAATTTTATACTTATAATTAAGTCACTTATTAAAAATTGTTGCATGAATTTGATAAAATTAAAATATATCTTATAAATTCTTCTGTTATAAAAATAAGGAAATCTTAAAATGACTTAAGATTTTGTTAAATCAAACCATCTCATTTCCAATTTTCATCTTGACCTCTCTCTTTCCTAGTTTTTATTCCAACCTCTCTCGTTCCCAGTTTTCATCTTCATCATATTGGTTCCTTTCTATTTCCAGTTTTTATCCCAAACCTTTCTGATCTCAGTTTTTATTCCAATTTCTCCTATTTCCAGTTGTCATCTCAATCCCTTCCATTGCTAGTTTTTATTCCAATCCCTTCTATTCCCAATTATCATCACAATCCCTTCCATTCCCAATTTTCATCCTAATTCCTTCCATTTCCAATTCTTATCTTAATTTCCCTTGTTTCCAATTTTCATCACAATGATGCATTGATATGGAAGTGGTGTGGCATTTGTTGGACAAATGGAGGCTACAATGAGGATTGACAACTCCTTCTGTTGAATAGGAGTGAAGACATTATTTGGCATAAATTAAACCATAAAACTATGGCTAATTTTGAGCAGCTTGTGTTGGTGAAATTATATACAACGATTGTATTGACTAAGTATACAAAGATTGTAATGACCAAATTTCTTAGATGTTTGTATGAGCTCCTTGTAATAAACTAACATGTTAATAAGAGACAATTTTTTAAAATTTGAATGATCCACTAGCACAAATTCTAAGTGTCCCTCATGAGGGCATTTTGATTCCTTGCTACTATTTTTGATGAAATCATGTGACTTTATTAGTGTAAGTCGATCAAATCCTATATTTTAGATAACAAAATTTTATACAAATTTGAAATAAAAATATATGACAAAAAAATCTTATTAAAACAAAGATATTGGCTATACTTATAAACTTACCATGCATGCTTTGGTCGTTGCTAAAAGCCTAATAACCATTACCAAATATAAGAAAGCCTCCAACCACACCAAAATCCATGCGAGTAGAGAGCACATTCAAAAACCATTCCCATATTATAGTGAGTATAGAACAAAGAAACCAAAAGTACAAAGAGAGTTTTGATAATATTACTATAATAGCAAGAATGCAATTATAGCTCTAATATACAAGTTTAATAGTACCTTTATAAGCAGCCAATAATGCATGCAAAATATCTTCATCTCCTACCATTTTTATTCCAATCCTTCTTTTGCACAAGAATAATCGAATAAGTGCATAAAAATATAATTTTAGATATTAGCTTAGAAGCTAATTACTTTTTTAGTAATATGGAATTTATGTTGATTCCAAATGATGGCATTAGCAAAACACCCAATTTCAGTAAATATGAATTCCAACATTATTCAAAGATGGAATAGAAACTCACATGAGTTGAAGTTTCCAAATGTAGGCAAATTGTGTGAAAGAACATGCTTCTTCTATGACCAAGGTACAATAGAAGACCTATTCTTTGTAAAATGGAATAAGTTTCAACTATCTCACTTGCATTTAAAGCCTAATTAAGTCAATGTGTCCATATTACTTATGCAATATTTTTTTTAGGATCTCCATTATAATTTGAAAAGTGCAATATTTTTAGATAGACCTAAAAGCTCGAGAGCTATAGAATTATTATGTATGTTGCATATGAATGAACACATTAGTTGCTATATTGGTAGAAAATAATTCCCACATTGCCTACTCTAAAATGGACACAACAATCAATTAATTACTTTTGATTTATACCATTGTTTGTATAGTTTGGCTTAGTGCAAGCAATGAGTCCAATAATTTTCAGGTATTTGTTTATATCAACATAGTCTGATCAATAAGAAATATACAAAATCAAAAAATACTTAAACATAAGAATTTGTGCATATATGTGTTTCAAAGAAGGATAACAAAGAGAATTAATACAAATACTCTCCAGTTCAGAGATTCAAAATGCTCCAATTTCCATGATGAATAATGAATCTAATTATGCAAGACTATAAAGACTTAGTAAGTGACATGAACTTATCTTTCAAAGTTCAAATTGTAAAATAGAGTTGTTGTATAATTGTGTGATGCTTTTTAATTCAACATTGAATTCTTTAAATTTTTTTCTTATAACATGAGCTCTATCTTCATGATCACTTGAATTTTTTTTTTTTTTTTTTTTTTTTTTTTTTTAAAAAAATCCTCTTCTATGGGCATGCTTCTTCCTTGATTAGTTGAAGCTTTTGATACTAAACAGTCCAAAGCTTCTTTAATTTTCATCTAAAATGTTACGTGGTCATGCAATTAAATTTTTTATTTATTTATTTTAGTTTTAATTGGATTTATTTGTCAATAGCACAATGTAAACAAATAGATTGTTAAAAACCCAGATACATTATTTGAAGCCCTATCCAATGAGCATGTGCACAAGAGATTGGTGTATCAAATAGAATTAGAAGTAGTTACAAGAGACTGATAATTTTATGGTTTGATTCATATAAAGTGATGTCCTCATTACAATTTAGAAGAGAGAGTTGTCAATCTTCACTAATCTTCATTGCATCTACCAATCATCCAAAAAATGCCACATCAAACTCGTGACCCTCTATATATATGCATCACTCTAATGAAAATTCAAAATGGGAAGAATTAGGATAAAAATTAGGAATAAAAGAGATTGAGATGAAAACTGAGAGTGAAAAAGATCACGATGAAAAATAGAAATAAAAGACAGTGGAATGAAAACAAAAAAATAGAGAGGATTAGAATAAAAAGTAGGAATAAAAGAGTTTGGAATGAAAACTAACAATAGAGAGAATAAAGATAAGAATAAAGAATAAAAGAGATTAGGATGAAAACAAGGAAAAGAGAGGGTCATAATGAGAATTAGGAATTAAAGTGATTGGGATGAAAATTAGGAATAGAGAGGATCATGATGAGAATTAGGAATAAAAGAGATTACAATAAAAACTAAGAATAGAGAAGATCATGATAAAAACTAGAAATAGAGAGGATCATGATGAGAATTAGGAATAAAAGAGATTACAATAAAAACTAAGAATAGAGAAGATCATGATAAAAACTAGAAATAGAGAGGATCATGTTGAGAATTAGGAATAAAAGAGATTACAATAAAAACTAGGAATAGAGAAGATCATTATGAAAACTAGGAATAGAGAGGATCATGATGATAACTAGGAATAAAAGAGATTACAATGAAAACTAGGAATGAAGAAGATCATGATGAAAACTAGGAATAGAGAGGATCATGATGAGAATTAGGAATAAAAGAGATTACAATGAAAACTAGGAATAAAGAAGATCATGATGAAAATTAGGAATAGAGAGGATCATGATGAGAATTAGGAATAAAAGAGATTGCGATGAAAACTAAGAATAGAGAAGATCAATATGAAAACTAGAAATAGAAAGGATCATGATGAGAATTAGGAATAAAAGAGATTACGATGAAAACTAGGAATAGAAAGGATCATGATGAGAATTAGGAATAAAAGAGATTACAATAAAAACTAGCAATTGAGAAGATCATGATGAAAACTAGGAAAAGAGAGGATCATGATGAGAATTAGGAATAAAAGAGATTACGATGAAAACTAAGAATAGAGAAGATCAATATGAAAACTAGAAATAGAAAGGATCATGATGAGAATTAGCAATA